ACAGAATGGAGTATGCAATGGAGACTTCGTGCACCCTGAAATCCATTGTCCGTCATCACCTGTACATGAAGTGTGGATCAGGATATGATCGAACATTCCCAGATGTGATGATGACTTTCGTTTTTTGGATGGGGCAAAACGAACATCCAGCAGCAGGCTTTCCGGAAGGACAAGATGAACGGCATGGATGATGAACAACTGGAACTCATGCGGAACGATCCAACCAAGGCCATATTCGATTACCAGGTCTCATCCGCAGAGCGCTTTAAGCACGTGAACAATGACATGTTCATGAATGGCTCGCAGGACTCCGACTCTCACAGTCCCCTCATGGTTGAGTACATCAAGAAGAGACCCCGCAGGAGTACAAGGACTACAACAAGCAGTGGGGACATCAGAAGCAGTGAAAGGACTATAGCACCTCGACCTGGAATGATTATGTAGACTATGGCAGTCAATCCGACAGCAGCCGCCGATGGTATCGTCGATCCGACTGACCATGAAGATTCATACGTTCAGCACCACGAACTCAATTCAGATGATTGATCCTCGCCGTCTACAAGACTATACAATGAGTGAGAGATCAATAGTTTCACAATCGTCCCGCGTGTACATAGCGTTGTACATCACCCTTTGATACATCTAGGTATCTCAAAAAGAAGCAGTACATAGTGTTTTCCATTTCGAAAGCCAAGACATTTCATCCGAGCAGAAAAGAGGATGAATTCGGCATTTTTAATACACATGGCTACGGCATACAGCATGGCTACGGCATACATCAAGGCTACGGCCAAAGGCCATGAAGCCAATAGTATTTCATACTTATTCCTGCATATCAAAAGAATTTGTTTTATCTGTTTTTGTTTTTGTTTCTTTACTGAACACTTGATCTCCTGCAACATTTGGCTCAAGGCCCTCTTTTGTGTAACATTGCATCATTCATGATCGCGTGAAGCAAAAGAACCTTAGCAGGCCGCTTACAGGATTATCCACAAGACAATCCATCCTCCAATCATCCACAGTGGCATATTGGATTCTCTCCGGAATAGATCAGGGTACCGGGGTCCACGTACCACGAAGACGCTTCACTAAATCTGTTCATTGTGCGTCCTTGCGCAACTCAGTTTGTCAAAAACATTGGGGTGTTCGATTCCCCCCGGGTCCGCTTTCGCATCCTTAGCAGCTCCAGCGGCACATCGCCAGCATCACTTGCATCAGCCGCATCAGCGCCTGCCAAGGATGCGGATGATGCAAGTGATGCTGGGGATGTTGCCCATGCTGGTGAAGGAACCTGGAAATGAAGGAGGGGAAGGGGGGAAAGGATCTCAACAGGGAAAGGGGGGGTCAACAAGGAAAGGGGGCAAAAGGGGGGAAAGGGGGGAAAGGATCTCAACCGGAAAAGAGGGGAAGGATCTTAGGGAGGAAAAGGGAGAAAGATCTCAGGGGGGAAAGGCCTTAGGGAGGAAAGGGTCTCAACAGGGAAAGGGTGGGAAAGATCTTAGGGAGGAAAGGGAGAAGATCTGGAAAGGCCTTAGAGGGAAAGGATCTCAACCGGAAAAGAGGGGAAGGATCTTAGGGAGGTCAAGGGAGAAGATGGGAGGAAAAGCGAGAAGATCTCAGGGGGGGAAAAGGCCTTAAGATCTCAGGGGGGGAAAGCTTAGGGGGGAAAGGGGGGAAAGGATCTCAACAGGGAAAGGGGGGAAAACATCTTAGGGAGGAAAAGGGAGAAGATCTTGGGGGGAAAAAAAGGCCTTAGGGGGGAAAGGGGGGGGAAAGGATCTCAACAAGGAAAGGGGGGAAACCATCTTAGGGAGGAAAGGAGAAGATCTTGGGGGGAAAAGGCCTTAGAAAGGAGGGGAAAGGATCTCAGCAGGGAAACTTGCAAAAGATCTTAGGGAGGCAAAGGGAGAAGATCTCAGGGGGGGAAACTCAACAGGAAAAGGGGGGAAAAGATCTTAGGGAGGAAAAGGGAGAAGAACTCAGGGTGGGAAAAGGCCTTAGGGGGGACAGGGGGGAAAGGATCTCAGTAAAGAAAGGTGGACAAAGATCTTAGGGAGGAAAAGGTCAGGGGGGAAAAGGCCTTGGGGGGGAAAGGGGGGAAGGGATCTCAACAGGGAAACATCTTAGGGAGGAAAAGGGAGATAATCTCAGGGGGGGGAAAAGGCCTTAGGGGGGAAGGGGGGAAAAGGCCTTAAGATCTCAGGGGGGGAAAGGCCTTACAAGGGAAGGGGGAAAGGATCTCAACAGGGAAAGGGGCAAAGGATCTTAGGGAGGAAAAGGGAGAAGATCTGAAAAGGCCTTAGGGGGGAAAGGGGGAGAAAGGATCTCAACAGGGAAAGGGGGGGTCAACAAGGAAAGGGGGCAACAGGGGGGAAAGGGGGGAAAGGATCTCAACCGGAAAAGAGGGGAAGGATCTTAGGGAGGAAAAGGGAGAAAGATCTCAGGGGGGAAAGGCCTTAGGGAGGAAAGGGTCTCAACAGGGAAAGGGTGGGAAAGATCTTAGGGAGGAAAGGGAGAAGATCTGGAAAGGCCTTAGAGGGAAAGGATCTCAACCGGAAAAGAGGGGAAGGATCTTAGGGAGGTCAAGGGAGAAGATCTCAGGAGGGGAAAGGGGACCTCAACAGGGAAAGGTGGGAGAAGATCTTAGGGAGGAAAAGCGAGAAGATCTCAGGGGGGGAAAAGGCCTTAAGATCTGAGGGGGGGAAAGGCCTTAGGGGGGAAAGGGGGGAAAGGATCTCAACAGGGAAAGGGGGGAAAACATCTTAGGGAGGAAAAGGGAGAAGATCTTGGGGGGAAAAAAAGGCCTTAGGGGGGAAAGGGGGGGGAAAGGATCTCAACAAGGAAAGGGGGGAAAAGCCTTAGGAAGGAGGGGGGGAAAGGATCTCAACAGGGAAAGGTGGCAAAAGATCTTAGGGAGGAAAAGGGAGAAGATCTCAGGGGGGGAAACTCAACAGGGAAAGGGGGGAAAAGATCTTAGGGAGGAAAAGGGAGAAGAACTCAGGGTGGGAAAAGGCCTTAGGGGGGACAGGGGGGAAAGGATCTCAGTAAAGAAAGGTGGACAAAGATCTTAGGGGGGAAAGGTCAGGGGGGAAAAGGCCTTAGGGGGGAAAGGGGGGAAGGGATCTCAACAGGGAAACATCTTAGGGAGGAAAAGGGAGATAATCTCAGGGGGGGAAACGGCCTTAGGGGGGAAAGGGGGAAAGGATCGAAAAGCGAGAAGATGTCAGGGGGGAAAAGGCCTTAAGATCTCAGGGGGGGAAAGGCCTTACAAGGGAAGGGGGAAAGGATCTCAACAGGGAAAGGGGCAAAGGATCTTAGGGAGGAAAAGGGAGAAGATCTGAAAAGGCCTTAGGGGGGAAAGGGGGAGAAAGGATCTCAACAGGGAAAGGGGGGGTCAACAAGGAAAGGGGGCAAAAGGGGGGAAAGGGGGGAAAGGATCTCAACCGGAAAAGAGGGGAAGGATCTTAGGGAGGAAAAGGGAGAAAGATCTCAGGGGGGAAAGGCCTTAGGGAGGAAAGGGTCTCAACAGGGAAAGGGTGGGAAAGATCTTAGGGAGGAAAGGGAGAAGATCTGGAAAGGCCTTAGAGGGAAAGGATCTCAACCGGAAAAGAGGGGAAGGATCTTAGGGAGGTCAAGGGAGAAGATCTCAGGAGGGGAAAGGGGATCTCAACAGGGAAAGGTGGGAGAAGATCTTAGGGAAGAAAAGCGAGAAGATCTCAGGGGGAGAAAAGGCCTTAAGATCTCAGGGGGGGAAAGGCCTTAGGGGGGACAGGGGGGAAAGGATCTCAACAGGGAAAGGGGGGAAAACATCTTAGGGAGGAAAAGGGAGAAGATCTTGGGGGGAAAAGGCCTTAGGGGGGAAAGGGGGGGGGGAAATGATCTCAACAAGGAAAGGGGGCAAAGGATCTTAGGGAGGAATAGGAAGATCGCGGGGAAAAAAAAGGCCTTAGGGGGGAAACGGGGGAAAGGATGTCAACAGGGAAAGGTGGCAAAAGATCTTAGGGAGGAAAGGGAGAAGATTTCAGGGGGGGAAAGGCCTTAGGGGGGAAAGGGGGGAAAGGATCTCAGCAGGGAAAGGGGGGGAAAGATCTTAGGGAGGAAGGGGAGAAGATCTGGGGGCAAAGGCCTTAGGGAGGAAAGGGAGAAGGTCTGGGGGAAAAAAGGCCAACAGGAAAGGGGGGGAAAGATCTTAAGAAGGAAAAGGGAGAAGCTCTCAGGGGGGGAAAGGCCTTAGGGGGGAAAGATCTCAACAGGGAAAGGGGGGAACCAATCTTAGGAAGGAAAAGGGAGAAGATCTGGAAAGGCCTTCGGGGTAGGGGGGGAAAGGATCTCAACAGGGAAAGGGGGCAAAGAATCTTAGGGAGGAATAGGGAGAAGATCTCAGCGGGGGGAAAGGCCTTCTCAACAGGGGAAGGGGGGGAAAGATCTCAGGGAGGAAAGGGAAAAGATCTCAGGGGGAGGGGGGGAAAGGCCTTAGGGGGGAACGGGGGGGAAAGGGAGGAAAAGGGAGATGATCTCAGGGGCGAAAAGGCCTTAGGGGGGAAAGGGGGGAAAGGATCTCAACAGGGAGAGGGATCTTAGGGAGGAAAAGGAAACTCAGAGGGAGAAAGTAAGGGGTCCGAGTCCGGTGATCTCGTTTATCCCCGAGCTCGCAATGAAGTCGGATCTATCCCTTCTGAGGGCGTCCTTTTTTTATGGTACCCCGCTGTGGACTCCTCTTTTTATTGCAGGAAACCAAAGAAACTCCGCTTTACGCGACAATATGTGTCTACGGTTAATGAGGGTACCATTTCTGCCTTGGTTTAAAAGGAACGCCACAGGAACAAAAACCAATTTTTGGAGGTTCCCCTTGTGAGGGTGTCCATTTTTTGACGCCACCCCTTTTTGGCCTATCATTTTCACTTTTTTTCGGGAAAGCAAAGGGACACCGAAGCCATTTTGGAGGTTCCGCGATTTTGAGACCTGGGGAACTCTTCACGTGGATTCTCCGGGGCGCCAGCAGCTGACCTCCGAGAGGTTGCCCAAGAAGCAGCTCGTGTTGTCGCCTTCGAAGGGTTCGCATCGTCCTCCCCATCCCTCGCCTCCTTCGGTTTGAAAGTTTGAACCAATTGCCACCTGTTGTCCCACCAACCCGCGTTCAATAGTTTAATACTTTTTTTAGTATATCCAATGCATCAAATGCGCAACCTCCAAACCGTTTTCTAGGCATTCTTGTCCCCGGTTTGGGCTCAAGGAATTTAAGGTTTCCCAGTCCTCCTTACACTTCGTGCACGGAACCATACATGGACTGATGGAACCAAAAGGGACGGTCCTGAAGAGAGGGGTAGGTCCGGCTCTGACCAACAATCCAGCCACTAGTTCAAACGCTTCGGTTCTGAGCAAACCCAGGCAACTTGGCTAAATTGATGAACCCGCCCAAAGAAAAGAGAGTTTAGCCAGTTTGCCAAGTCACCAATAGATGGCGGGTAGAACCAAGCTTTGATGGAACAGCTTGGTTGAACCACGAACAGGGTTGCTATCCTTCGACCCCATCGCACAAGGGTAGTACAGGGCGCCCCTGGCAAAGGGAGGCTAAAGGAATCTGGGGGATGGCCATCCAGAGGCTCGGAGACCTGACAGGATCAGGATGAATCGAGAAATCAATGACTGCAAGAGACATCGAAGGTTTCCAAGCGATTCTTTCTGGACCATGATAGAAACTGAAAAGCCAAATGGGTAAACACCTCAAAGGAGTGACAGCTCGTAAACCAATGAAAGAAGTAACATAAGAAGCTCAATTAAACAAACAGGCTTCTCCCATGATCATGAAATAATTTGACTACTATTCGCCCACAACTCCATTCTAATTATTAACTTGTGATCATGCCTCACTTCTTACTGTTGAGTTGCAAAGTATATAGAACCCCATTCTTGTTTGGCTGTGGGTCAAAACCAATGGGATCCCATTTTGGGGTAGGTGAATTCACCACCAATTTTAGAACCTATTTTAGTGGTTGGATTGAATCGGATGTTCACTGTTCACCGCTTTCTTCCTTGCGCCGGCAAAATCCGAAAGGGACACTTTGCCGAGCCAAGCTGCGGAGCCCTTTCAGCACCCTTGCAGATTCAAGTTCAGCTTTGCTTGCACGTGCCTGCTCCGCCTTCTCCTGGATTACCCCAGGTCACAACAGCCCCAGATTCAAGAATGGCAGCAAAAGAAGTCTGAGTTGCATGGACTGCCTGGACGTTCCTCAGCTGCTCTTGCACCTGGCTGCTGTCCCCGCCGTATTCTGGATGACCCCAGGTCACAACCGCGCCAGATTCAAGAATGGCAGCAAAAGCACCACCGCATGTTGCTTGGATGTGCTTCACGTTCCTGAGCTGATGTTGCACCTGGCTGCTGTCTCCGCCATGTTCTGGATCACCCCAGGTCACAACAGCCCCAGATTCAAGAATGGCAGCAAAAGCACGGCCACTTGACTGGATATGCTTGACGCTTTTCAGCTGGTCTTGCACCTGGCTGCTGTCTCCGCCTAATCCTGCAAGGCCCCAGGTCACAGCAGCTCCAGATTCCAGAATGGCAGCAAAAGCGCCACCGGCAGTTGCTTGGATGTGCTTAACGTTCCTGAGCTGCTCTTGCGCCTGGCTGCTGCCTGGACTACCCCAGATTACAACAGACCCAGATTCGAGAATGGCAGCAAAGGCACCACCAGCTGCTTGAACGTGCTTCACGTTCCGAAGCTGCTCTTGCACCTGGCTGCTGTCACCGCCATGGTCTGCCCAACCCCAGGTCACAACAGCCCCAGATTCAAGAATGGCAGCAAAGGCACCACCGGTAGTTGCTTGGATGTGCTTGACGTTCCTCAGCTGCTCTTGCACCTGGCTGCTGTCACCGCCATAGTCTGGATCGCCCCAGGTGACAACAGCCCCAGATTCAAGAATGGCAGCAAAGGCGCCACTGGCAGTTGCTTGGATGTGCTTGACGTTCTTCAGCTGCTCTTGCACCTGGCTGCTGTCTCCGCCGTAGCCTGGATGACCCCAGGTCACAACATCCCCAGATTCAAGAATGGCAGCAAAAGAAACCTCAGTTGCGTGGATGTGCTTGACGTTCTTCAGCTGCTCTTGCACCTGGCTGCTGTTTCCGCCTTCTTCTGGACTACCCCAGGTCACAACAGCACCTGATTCAAGAATGGCAGCAAAAGCGCGCCCAGCTGCGTGAATTTGCTGGACGTCAATCAGCTGCTCTTGCACATGGGCGCTGACTCCGCCGCAGTCTGAACGACCCCAGGTCACAACCTCGCCCCCGTGACCATGCCAAGCGAATGCCTTGTAGGCGGCTGCCAATGTGCCCAGCTGCGCAACCGCATCCACCACATCCCCATCTTGCAAGCCAGCCTCACTCAGCGTAGCCTTCGAATCGAGCTGCCGGCCTTTCGCGGTGAGCTTCAAGCGGCGCTGGAAGTGCTGCTGCGCTGCAACCTTCAGCTCGCTGATGGGCGTCGCTGGGGAGACTTCTATGCAGCAGCCATCTCCATTGGGCAAGTGAACATCAACCTTCATCGCGCAGGAAGGCGGGTGTTGTCTAAATCACCTGGTCCCGTTGAACGTCTCTTGAGCGTTTACAAGGGTTTAAATGCTTGGACATCCATACAACAAAAGCTTCTTGCGTCTTGAACCGGCCCTTCCCCTGTATGGCACTTTGTGACTGAAGTTCTTCAGCTGCCCGAGATGCGAATCGTTCGACCTGAAGAAGAGCGGGCTGGTGTGTCGTCATGACCTTCCCATCCAAGGAATACTCCAAAGCCTGTAAAAGTCCGCCAAGGAAGAAGGAGTCACAACCTACCCACAACCTACATCAAATCGGTTTTTGCTCGTACCGCCCGGATCGCTTGCTCGAAAACCATAGGCAGATGGATTCCCCAACTCCCCCTCCCCCCATTCGCAACCTGGTGAGAGCTATGGTGGATGCCCCTGCAACTTGGTGAGAGTTACGGTGGATGCCCCCTAATTTACCGTGTTTCATGCTTTGTTTGTTTTGTCTTTTTTTGTGGTTGTTTTACAAATGCGGGCATGCGTAACATCAAGTTGCTGACAAGAGTTCCATACCGATTGGGCTGCAAACACATGGCTCTTCGATTAAACCTACACAAGATGATCTACCTTTTGCTGAGGTGAGAGCAACCCAACTAGTTTCCTCAAAGTGCTGTCAGCACTATCAGAACAAACCCTCAGAAATCACATATTCTGGATTTTGAAAAGCCCATGGCCATAGGGTTTTTTGCGCGCCAGGGTAGAACCCTGATGTTTCCTGATGTATTCTGGTGACATGTTCTTTGACCTCAAAGGCGGGAAAATTGTTGAGGGAACATGTAATTTAGTCGTTTATGGGAAAATGTTGTTTCCCCATTTCCGCCTATTCCGTTGAGGGAACAGCTTTGGATTCTGAAAAGCCCATGGCCATTTGGCTACACGAACTGCATCGGCCAGTTCCTGGCTGGGGCCTGGGCTGAGCTCGAATCTGCTTTCGCATTCCAACTCGCAGGACTCTCCGGACCTCGCGAGAGAGGGAGAGAGAGAGAGAGAGAGAGAGAGAGGGTCGATCTTCGAGGTCGGCCAGATGGCCACATCTCTCTTTCACTTACCAATCTTCCAATTGCTGTCCCCTGGAAAAGATGCAAATATATTTTCCAGTGGTGATAAGTTCCCTTTAAAACCAACAGGGGAAATGTAAAATATTCATTTCAGCCAATGGAAGTCACTCAAAGCCGAGCCATTGACCTGGCTCGCCAACCTTTCCCAAAACCAAACCCGATTACTCAGAATCTTGATGGGTCTTTGATCAGGGATCCTTACATTGTACACCTGAACATTGTCTTGTAAATTGTGGTTTCCCTTTATTTTGGTGGAAAACGCTATGTTTCAAATGGGCAAGATGTATCTTTTAAGGAGCCCTGTTAATACGTGCGGACGAGGGGATGACCATTTACCCACCTAGCAAACGAGCAAAATGGGCGCGGGGGGTTATTCTATTCACCCGCCGGAACTGGGTTGGTGTCTTTTTGGCTCGCCCTTGCCAAACAATCCTGGGTTAAAGGCGCATCCAAGTCGCAGGTGTGGGTAGGGGTGGGATGGAGATGGGCTTCTGTTGTGGCTCTTTCTCTCCTATCATCAAGGAGCTGGTGCCTAGTGCCTACCTATTGAGGCCCATGGGCCCCTTGAAAAAAAAAGGGGGACCCTTAACAACCATAGGATTCTCGGGGCGGGCCGGGTGGGGTGGGGGGGTGCGAGGGGTCCTGAAAACACTGCCATCTTCTCTAGAGGGAGACATAAGATAACAGGGGTCAGTAATATTGTCTTATTTTGGGGTTCAATCATCTTGGTGGGGCGCATGTTTTGGCCGACCATTTTGAAGGTCTTTACCCCCTCCCAGAAAAAGAGAGGTTCAACCTAAGGTGATCACCTAGAGTTGGGCAATTTAGCCACGTGTTTCATCCATGGCTTAAGTCGTATTGCTTGCTCTTGGCTTTCCTTAAAAACCAACCTGACTTATGACTCACCCTGAGGTCAGCCCACATGACACCAGTCCTCCAAAACACCTGAACATGGCTGGTGTTTGGTGCGACCAAATCGCCACGGAAAGACCTTCTGGTTTCATACAGGTTGATCAACAGGTCCTTGGGATGACCATTGGGACACACCGCAAAAAAAAACGATATCTCCCACAAAATGGAAAAAGCTGCCCATGGTGATTTGGACGCCGAGCGGAATAGTGATCCACCCCCAAATGAGTTGCACTCAAAGCCTGGTACAAAAATGGTGAACCCAGAACCATGTAAAGAATCAACCAGGCGGCCGCACCCATTTCTGGTTAGGAATGTCCCTTACTAACCTTCATCTACCCGGATTTTGCTTGTGGCTCAAATGGCTGTTCCCTTAAACCCACAGAACGCCGATCACCTTGTGCTCGCTTGGGAGCGCCAAAGAGGCTGCCCAACGTCAATAATACTGTGGATGGACGAAATCCTGCACCACCTGAGAAACCATGGAATGATGATTCCCTTGCAAATACCAACAAACATGTTTTCCCATGGTTTTAAATTGGTGCGAAATGGATTTCGTCCATCCACAGTATGGTTGAACAAATTCGGATTGGAGCCCTGGCGCCCGGGTCTGTGTCCATTTTAGACCCACACGGTGCTCTTCCTGTTAAAGCTCGCCTTCAACCACTCAAAAGCAAGGGGGGGGGGGCCTCCAAAGATGAAACTTTTGCACGAAATCCCGAACAGATGCTCCGTTCACCACCATAAAAAAGGGGGATTCCTGGATCCTTCCACCCCCAAAAATACAAGAGCCCCGGGTCGCCATCCATCCATTCCCCCCCCTTTCGGCCGCTGGGAAACCTCCATTTGCAGAATAAAATAAAAATATGTCCAGTATTGAAATCGATTCCCTTTAAAACCAACAGGGGAAAATAAACAAATATTCTTCACCAAATGGAAGGAAAGGACAGCAGCGGCTGAAGTTTCGGGTCGAAGTGCTCCAGCCACTCCGGGCAGTTGCCCAAGGACAACACGTGCTCCACCGCCGCCTCGCGCTCCCAACACCGAAAAATCGAGGCGGCGGTTCGAAGCACCCGAGGCCTTGCCGTCATGGCAAAGTGGGATGCCACGTGAAAAAACCACACACCGGGGGGATCGCCAAAACCAATGAAAGGCCCAGCAACTTGGTAGATACAAGCAGGAGACTGCAAGATACACTGCGGATTGACAGAGGTACCCCCAAAATACAATGGTTTGAAGGAAACAAAGGAAACTCATCTTCCTCTTTTGAGGCTCTTTTCCATGAAAATCAGAGGGGGTTCCCCACAAAAAACATCATCAGTGCAATGCCACAGACCAGAGAACACCTGTTCAAAGGAAACTCCGCTGGGCGGCTTGAAGCTCCGCTGTTGATCCTTTCTCCCTAATAGCTCCCCTAAGAAACCCAAACATAGATTCCTCCAACAATAGCTCCCCTCCACTCAAATCCCAATCAAACCCTGGTACGCCAATAATTCCCCCAATAGATCCCTCCTTTATCCCGAACAAAACGGGCTCCGCTGTTCGGTTCTTCGGGTCCACGAGCTTTGGGCCACTGTTGACGTCGGGAAAAGTGCCGGCATCAAACGGCCAAGTGATCAAGGTGCAAATTCCGGGGAGCTTCAAAAGCGAAGGCGGCTTTGCTTTTTGCTTTCCCACAAGAAACCTAACAACTAATAATAATCTGCTTTGTTTTCTTAAACAAAAAGAAGAAACCACCTTATTAATTGTGTCATCAAAAAGAGACCTTCTGAATCGACTGAATGGAGACCCTCAAAAAGGATCTTTTTTCACGCGTCACGCAACCCTTTGGTTGGAGTCAGGCCAGGGTGACCCCGGACTGAGGGCACGGCACATCTGCAGAGTTTCGCTGAGTGGTTCGGGAGAGTTCTTGGTATTGATTTAGTATTGGGTAATTATTTAAAGAAAAGCTTGGCCATTTTTGGGTTCGGCTGGGGGGGGGGGATATTTTTTGGGGAAGGTTTATTAGTAGGAAGAAAGGATTGCTCCGGGGAGTACACTGGGTTGGGACGTCTGTCACATGGAAACGACAACCGCGACATATAAGGCACCACACACACATAAATGAAGGTTGATCTGTTTTTGAGGATTTCTACATGGGCAGTAATTCTAGTCGGGGAAGCTTCGGGCATCAATGCAGTGGGGATTCATGTCCACTAACCACTTTTGAGGCAGTTCCCTATGCAATGTCATAGCCATTTCTGAAAAGACTTCATCAACCTGAAATATGGACACCCCTCGAGAAAGGAGTGTTCATGGGCTCGTAATGTATTTTGTCACAAAGCGGGCAGTGAGGTTGCTCTCGTTTGCGCAGACTGGATGATTCCCCGAAACATCACCCCGCCAAAAGGAAACTCAGCTACAGTAAAATTGCATGGTGATGCTCTACGAACAAATCGCTCGAACCTGCATTCCCAAGCCAAGACTGATCAACTGAAAGGGCCACTTTGAGAGATTCAAACGAGGGTAATGGGAAGACCCAGAGTCATAATGGGCATTGTAACCGGTTTCAAAACCCCGTGGCTGGACAATTAGTTTTCTATGATACCAAACCGGTACATCACTAAGCATTTTGTGTCACGTCCAAGGGGATTCCTGGAAAATATCACAGAAAATGCATGGCAAAGCCAAGGCCCCAGCCGCACTGCCACACGTGCACAAGCCACCCCAAAACCTACCTCCCAACTCAATTCCCGAATGGACTAACCCCCAAAGGTCTCTTTGTTTTGCGCAAATGCTCAAATTTGATCTTCCCAAACAACATGAAGCCAGCCCATTCTCGAGGCCCTCGTAACCACACACCCCTCAACTAACGGCCAACCTATGCATACCTGGACAAGCGAGGAATATGAAAGTGACTTGCCATCCCAATAGGTACTTGCGCTCATAACTCCGTAGGAGTAGTCTACGTCTTTGTTGGACACATACTAATTTAAGCAGCACCCACATTGACTTTTGTTAACCTTTATGGGTACTGCAAGGGCCTAAATACTCAGAATGGGGTTGTGGGATGTGTTAAGTCATGATTAATGCTGGTATTTGTTTCGCCCCACATTGCCACATAGTATGAGAATGTTGTAAGCCTATCATCAGGCGCCTTTATTGGCCGACCATTTTCAAGGTCTTTATCCCCTCCCACACAAAAAGAAGGTTCAACCTAAGGTGTTCACCTAGAGTTGGGTGATTGGTTAAATGGAAACCTGGGCGAAACCCTAAAAAACCTGAAACATAAGGGGACGCCTGGAACCGGCGCTTAGATGAAAAATACAGGGAACCGTGGTCCACAGCACACTCTGCGCTGTTTGCTTGATGCTTCCTGCTTTTAGCACGCGTTCAGCTTCAAGAACAGCTGCTCTTGCACCTGGCTGCAAAACCCCAGGTCACAACAGCCCCAGATTCGAGAATGGCAGCAAAAGCACCGGCATTGGCTTGGATGTGCTGGACATTCATCAGCTGCCCTTGCACCTGGCTGCTGTCTCCGCCATATTCTGGACGACCCCATGTCACAACAGACCCAGATTCAAGAATGGCAGCAAAAGCACTCACAGTTGCTTGAATGTGCTGGACGTTTCTCAGCTGCTCTTGCACCTGACTGCTGTCTCCACCCCATTCTGGATCACCCCAGGTCACAACAGCCCCAGATTCCAAAATGGCAGCAAAAGCACCGGCATTGGCTTGGATGTGCTGGACATTCATCAGCTGCTCTTGCACCTGGCTGCTGTCTCCGCCATATTCTGGACGACCCCATGTCACAACAGCCCCGGATTCAAGAATGGCAGCAAAAGCACCGGCATTGGCTTGGATGTGCTGGACATTCATCAGCTGCCCTTGCACCTGGCTGCTGTCTCCACCCCATTCTGGATAACCCCAGGTCACAACAGCCCCAAATTCCAAAATGGCAGCAAAAGCACCATGAACAGTTGCTTGGATGTGCAGGACGTTCCTCAGCTGCTCTTGCACCTGGCTGCTGTCTCCGCCGAGTTCTGGATCGCCCCAGGTCACAATAGCACCAGATTCAAGAATGGCAGCAAAAGCGCGGGCAGTTGCTTGGACGTGCTGGACGTTCCTCAGCTGATCTTGCACCTGGCTGCTGTCTCCGCCAAAGCCTGGGGCACCCCAGGTCGCAACAGACCCAGATTCCAAAATGGCAGCGAAAGCACCGCCACGAGTTGCTTGAATGTGCAGGACATTTCTCAGCTGCTCTTGCACCTCGCTGCTCTCTCCACCGCATTCTGGATCACCCCAGGTCACAACAGCCCCAGATTGAAGAATGGCAGCAAAAGCACTGCCAGTTGCTTGGATGTGCTGGACCTTCCTCAACTGCTCTTGCACCCGGCTGTTGTCTCCACCGCAGTCTGGATTGCCCCAGGTCACAACAGCCCCAGATTCAAGAACGGCAGCAAAAGCACAGCCAGTTGCTTGGATGTGCTGCACGTTCGCGAGCTGCTCTTGAACCTGGCTGCTGTCTCCGCCATTGTCAACGACACCCCAGGTCACAACCTTGCCCTCAAGGCCATACAGAGCAAACGCCGCATCCGTGGCAGCCAGTTTGCCCAGCCGCACAACCGCAGTCACCACGTCCTCATCTCGCAGCCCAACCTCGCTCAGCGTGGCTGTCAAATCGAGTTGCTGGCCTTTCGCAGTGAGCTGCAAGGGACGCTGGAAGTGCTGCTGCGCTGCATCCTTCAGGTTGCTGATGGGGGTCGCCGGTGAGACTTCTATGGAGCAACCATCTCCACTGGGCAAGTAAACATGCACCTTCATGGCACAGGTATGTTATTCTGAGTGCATTCAGAATTGAGGGGCACATCTTTTGCATGTGTTAAAAGGGAATCCTAACCGTTTGCACGAGTTCATATGGGACGCGCCCGAAGGAAAGATTAGGTCTTGAGACGTTTTTTGTGAGGACCCTCTCAATGATCCAATAGATCGACGTCGGTGATTCGTCAAAGACAACTTCGGGCCAATTTGCGGTGGGATTGTTCGCCACTGATCCGGTCCCCACTGTTTCGGGAGAAAAAAGACGAAGTGGCTAGCTTTCCCCCCCGACCCGCAGTTCGTACTCAGGCTTTGGTTAAGGCTGCTAGCTAGACTCTTGCGAACCTGTACAATAGACCTCTGCTATGAACCCCTAGTCCGTAGTCCCTTGGTGAATTGAACTTACAGCTTCGTCATGTGAGAAAGGCACAGGGCGCGAATTGGCCTGGGTTCATAGTATGCGTCCTCAAACGCAAGCTTTGAGGTAGCCACCTTTTGCGCCCGACACATGTCCCACACGAGCCGTGTTCACAAGATGGGCAAACCACCCGCAAACCACTACCTCTAGGTGTTTGGAAAGATTCGGATCGGTTTTTGGAGCAAGTTGGCCCTAGGGTCACACAACTTGAAACACGCTCTGGTTCCCTTCAAGCCTTACTTGGGTCTTACGCTGACTTCCCGTAAGCTTCCCTGTGCTTTTGCGCCCACTGGAAACAAGTTTGAACACATCCGGTGCAATCGGTGTCCTTTAAAACCAACAAGGGACAATGATAATGAAAAAACAGTTCAGCAAATGGAAGAAAGGGAATTGCCCGGTTTCCAGTTTCCCCAACAAGTTAAAGGTGGCATCCACTTGGGAGAAGGCTATACGAACCTTCGGAGGAGCTCGAATGACTCATTAATTAGACAGCGGCTGCAAACCAAGTTTAAAAAAGCGACGATGATCGCACCGCTTTCTGAAGGAACCTCAGCTTACCTCTACCTGGAGTCTCCATGACCCTTTAAAAATGGTTGATCATTACCCAAAATAATGGGGTCATGGACCCATTTTTCAAGGGTCATGGAGACTCCAGGTACGGTTTGAATTAGCGGTTTGGTGGTCTTCCGTGGCGGTTTCCCATCTTCCCTCTACAACAACCAGGCAATCTAAATCCAGATCCAACGCATCGGGCTCCAAACAACCGGTGCGGGTCCCGGGTTACCTGAGAACTAGACTCGCACCACCAGTTTCAACCATGGTTTGAGTCGCTATTGCTATTTGCTCTTGGCTTCCCTTCCTCCGGTGCCTCTTTTCCGGGCATCCCTCTCGTGTTTCTGTCTCCCGCCTCGGAGACGTTGCAGCCGCTCGGCAGGCAGCTGGGCATGCCTGGCTTGGTGGTGACGGGTTTGGGGTTTGGGGGAGGAGGGCTTTCCCATGCCTCGAAAGCCAGGGGTTCAAAATCCAAACCGCCCAGCCGAACCACCAACCAAGCTCCATTTCCTTGAGTCCCTTGGAAACAAGCACAAATCTGTCTGGTAGTAATAGATGCCCTTCAAAGCCAACAGTGGAAAATAACACATACATATTCTTAAGCCACGGAAGCTATAAGGGTTACCCGATTTCTTGGCCTTGGAATGAGCACCATTCATGCAACACGGCCGCTAGCATGGGCCAATCCCCTCGAAAGCATTCCTTATACAAGCTGGTAGACTTCTCTTGTCGATGCTTTGCCAAGAAAAACAAATTTACATCTAAAGCTCCAAGCAAGTTGCAGAGGTAACCTCTAGGCTGGTGGCTTCCCTTGGCTCAGAGCTCCGAAGCTGGGCTCCCAGCTCAGGTGGCCGGCGCAGCGGGCCGGGCCGCTGAGCTCGTAGCCCTCCTCGCAGGATGGCCTCGGGTGGCGAGGGGCGAGTGGGATGGCACCAAAGAAATGGGACTGCGTGCCCCCTAGCCCAACCATGTGGGTGTGCCTTAAACAAAAGGCTACCCAAGAAATGGGCTGTTCTTTCTTTGGTTTGGTGTTTGCCTGCAAAACAGGCCAAGGGTACCCTCAAACAAAAACACAAGCAAGGGAGCCTCATAATGGATGGTTCGCCTTTGGTTTCCTTTCGAACCTACCCGAATTTGGTTCCCTAAGACACACATCCTGATCTAAGCGTGCAAGATGAAAATCCTTTGACACTTTTCCCAAAATACCCTCCCTCCAGCAAATTATGTCGCACCTGTAGGGTGCCCTGGAAGATAAGTTTGCTCTTTCAGTGATTCAGGGACCCCCTGCGAGTACCATGGTAGTGGGAGGGCAAATGCCTAGTTCTATGTCGAAGCTATGCATATGTAATGGGTCATATGCAGCATTCATTAAAGAACCATGACTTGCTGCACCTTTCCAAAACAAACATGGCCTTCCAGAGGAGTCTGCGCGCTTCCACGTTGGTGGGAGGGTACTGGAAAACTATGGCAAACAACCCTTATCCCAAAGGCAATCATGAAGCTGCCCCCGCCTGCCACTGGTTAGTCACTCGATTGCCCTTTCTCCGCTAACCTTGAAATCACCAATCCCAACCAAAAATTCGAGGGAGCTTCGGTCTTTCGGCGAGGGTGCTGTTCTTAACCCAATGGCTGAAGACCACAGGGTGAAATAGGGTGAAAGTAGTTGGCACAGTTCCTTTTGTGTCTTCATGCGGGTTCAAAGCTTCCAATCTTGTAGGCACCCATAACCATGCCCCATATGTGAAGTCGGGAGAATCAGGATGTGTCGAAGCAAACAAAACAGGGACCTTTCAGGGTAACCCCGAATTGATGTTTTTGTTTTTGGATTTGGATATGAACCCTTGGCTCTTGTGGGCAAATGGGTAACCACCCCTAACCATCGAACCACCGGGCTCCAAACTCAAGGGTTTCACCAGGTCCAACCGTAAAATATCGCTTCAAACGCGGGGAGTTTCCGCATTCAGCCCTTGGAAGGGTTCGCAGGAGCACCTCCCAATCGGTTCGCGTGTACAAAAATAACCTGTCCGTAGGTGTTTAACAGGGAACAAAAACGAACGTCGTTTATCAAACTGAGACCTGTGGAAGCCATCTAAATGGGGTATCTACCCTTCAACTCGTATCTTCTGCACTTGTCTTTCCGATTCAATGGTTTGGGAGTAGATACCTTGCATTTGCGTTTGCGTCCAGTAGAAAGACAGGTCAAAAATCGGCACCCAAAATTGAACCTTGGTAAGTGGACATATGCACTAAAACCCGGGGTCCACTGGTTGTTTAATTTTTGACCCATACCCATATGTCCAGTAGTGATAGGTTCCCTTTAAAACCAGGGGGCATACCATGGAAAGGCTCGGTTCAATCTCAAACATTTCCCACCTGCCCTCTGCGCTCTTAGTCGCCCTGCACACACGAAGAGCCCGAGGACAAGGTCTGGCTGGCTTTGGAGTCTTGACTCTGGAACAACTGATCTGGGAAGGATTGGTCAGTCCTTGAGATCTCCCTTCCAACATGGAAGCTCCCGAGCGGACCCCGAAATGGAAGACTTGGTAACCCAATGGTCTGAGGGAATGTGACCTGAAATCATCAGCTGCTTCCCGGTTTGGAGGCTTGGGGGTCCCCAGCGCGATAAGCACCGGGCAGTCAAATTTAAGTCCCTCCAAGTCAAACCACCAATCAAGGGTAAGCTGATGCCACCAACCCGAAACAAGGAATCCGAGCAAAGGGACCAAAAAGGTCCCTTGGGTGATCCCGTGGTACCCAGTGAGCTGGCTGTAATTTGCGGAGTATACATGTCCAGTCCTTTCTCTCCAAAGCCCACTCGTTGCCTCTCAGGACTTGCAATCTGCCCCGAAAGAACAAACACACATCTAGCCATTGGGTCTCCGGGTCTCGTGTTTTGGTCTAAAACCCTAGCGGGTCTGGCACCCATCCACGCCGGCACCAAGAAAAGCAAGCAAGCAAGCAAGCAAGCAAGCAAGCAAGCAAAGCAAAGCAAAGCAAAGCAAAGCAAAGCAAAGCAAAGCAAAGCAAAGCAAAGCAAAGCAAAGCAAGCAAGCAAGCAAGCAAGCATAGGTATGAGAGATTAAAACACGTTTTGTCAGAACGCGGCTTAAACAGTTGGCCGCGGTCCATGTGGTTTCCCTAAGCGCTCCCAAAAAGGGTATCATCAAAACGATGCATCCTATTGAGCCATGGTCAACACCATTCCCTTAGTCTTAGTTCCCTGAGTCATAATTAGAACGTGATACTAAAGTTGCCCAAGCAAGCCATGTTAAAGTTTTTTAGGGCGGCTGCACTCACTGGCTAATGGGATCATTCCAAAGTGAGTCACATTTTGTTAAAGGGGTCTTTGCTGCTTTGATTTGAGCCCTTGCTCGAGTTTTAAGCGCTGGAGCCCCCACTGAGAACAAAACATGCTTCAAAACGCCCTTCTGCGTGTTCCCCAAGCACACATGTAATTGACGCTGTTTACATGTGAATATACATATATAAACATACTTTTATTTATTAAAATATGTATCTATTTATCTTGTATTGCGCATATGTATAGATAGATTAATGTGGCAAGTGACGCCGTTCGTGAACTCCATACGCATGCAAAGCTGCAAGTCCCCCCCCCGAACTCCCGAACTCATGTTGCGTGACCGAAACCCATGCTCCAGCTGCCTCCAACCCCTCCCCATGACCATGTTCGTGTCCCAGCACTGGTCACTAAAACTCCAACTCCCAACAACCGGTCAAGCTCTGCACTAGAAACTAGTCCAACCCCCAGTAGAAACCAATCTGGTCAAATCTCCGGCTTCTTGGCTGTCAAATTCCGGCCTTTCAAACCGGCCAAATTCCCACATTCCCCTACAAATCGGTTGCCCCAACCAGCCCAGCCGCCCAGCCGCCCTGCAGCCCAGGCCCTTGGCTTCGCTCCCCACTGCCCTCTCTGTGATTCTCGGACCCAAGCCAGCCAACAGCATGCTGGCCGAGGCCAGCAACGCGAAGCGTTTACATTTTTTCTATTGTTTTTTTTTTTTTTTAGCAACAACTAACGCAACAAAAAATACGCAAATCTGTTTGTTGTGTTCGAGTAAAAAAACACATCAATAAACAAACAAATCAAAGAACCATTTTTTCCGGGCTTTTTGTGCATCCTAGGCCTCCTTACGCCTTAGTAACGCTAACCTTCACTTCCCCGGGTACCCGGCCGATATGTCGAAATGGCCCCAAACAACCGATGCCACCCCATGGGTTGGGACCCCCAACATGGCGCAACGGTGTTCTTCTTGGTTTCCCCTGTAAAAACAAATGAAAGGTTTCCCTTTGTTTGCTTCCCTTGTTTGGTTCCCTTTGTTGGTTCCCCTTTTTTGGTTCCCTTTGTTGGCTTCCCTTTAAAAACCAAAGAATACCGAGCCTCAAAAAAGACACACACCCTATGGTTGTCCGTTTGTTGCTTGCGTGTACGCCTTGTTGAGGTTCCTGGACCTTCCATTGTTACATAGATTTGTGTCACGGGGAAAAACACACATTGTCGGACCAACTATTTTTGCCCAGTGATCCAAAAAGCGGTCGTTCCCGCAAAAAACACTTGTTTCATGAGCACGGGCTTCTTGAAAGTACATGATTCGGATTTGAGATTGTTTTGAAGGTATGTTTGCACATGTTTCCGCGCAACGGACTATATGAGAAGTTTTATGAGAAGAGAGAGCCGCCGCAATAGCCAAAACGGCTCGAATCCAAATTTGCGCCCGTTCCCCCAAAACATGCGCGATTTGCAAATTTCTGCTACGAAACACCCAAGGGGCACAAATTCATGTAACAAACGAAGGTCCAGCTTGCTTACAGGAAAACCAACAAAACACTAGGTTTGAGGATATCCTAATTTAAGCCACACCTATATGGTCGGGCCATGCTGAGGGGGTTTGGCCATCGGAAAGGCTGAGATGGGCCCCAAGTGGATGAAGGCTAAAACATTGTAACATGACTCTCTTTCTGAGAGGCTTGGCCAAAAAGAGTCAAACTTCTTGCCACTGAAACGGTCTTCTCAAAACGCTCACAGTCCCAGAGCTCTTGAACGGAGTGAGGTGAGCTGTACCCCTTTGGTTGCAAGCCGACGGTCTCCAAATCCACGGGAGCAAGCCACGTTACTTGGTTGCGCGCATTGGCCTCAGTTCAGCAACCAACTACAAAAGAATCTGCAGAACTCTTGGCAAACACCTGCCAAAATCCTGACGTTTTGCCCAAATTCCAGTCGACTTTCCTGTTCCTTCCTTTTAGCAAGCATGGAAGCTGACAGTTTTCTATTGGGGAAGGCCCTTGTCCACTTCCATGATTGTTGGGAAAGTGACATTCTCAAAATTACCCAGTGGTTTCAAGGGAAACCACCGCCCATAGGAATCGAACATTTGACCCTCAAAGGGCCAAGAAAGAGGTTGCCCGTGGAAAAAACTGAAACAAAAAAAGGTACCCTCACTAAGCCCAGGGGTTCAATCGCCACTGTTTACCTACTAAGGTGTCATCATCTAAGTTGGGTCCCAAGGTTGGCCATTCTTTTAATGGGGGCTTTGGGAACACTATAGGGCCGGCCTGTGGGCAGTCTCCGAGGTCGCCATTCTCCGGAGCGGAGATCGGGCAGTCTCCCTTAGGACGAACCAAAGGGCGCTGGCTTCGTCTGAACCAGGGCTATGAACGGGGCTACGAGTATCCATAAGGGCAAAAGAAGCTGCATTGAAGAGGTTGGTTGAGTGGATTGGTCGGAAAGTCTGCACATGTTGTTTACCACCGGGATGATGCCAAAGGAAATTACTCAGGACTGGGCGAAATAGGGTTTGTCCAAATGGGATATGGGACCTCGAACGTGATCTTCGCCTTGGTTTGAAGGAATCCCGAAAAAGGTACCCTAAACTCAAACGACACACCTATTTCTTCTTGAACCAAAGTTCCAACGGTTGAGGCAGGAATGGGTTGAAACCAGGCCAAGCCGTATTGGTCAATCTAGAACTGCTGCCCAAGAAACAAACCTTCATCATACCCGTCGCTGTTTTCCAGGCTCCTTTTCCCAGAACAGTAAAACTGACCTGCGAATGTGATTGTTTTCCGGGTCCGGCATCTCTAGAGATATCATCTATATAACCCTTTAGCTGTTTGTTGCGTGGAAGACAGTAATTTTCCAACAATTGAAGGTTCTACTGCAGATTGACATGACCCCCTCCCTCCCAAAAAAGAAATATATAACATAAATACATAAATGAATAAATCAATAAATCAGTAAATTCATAAATAACTAAATAGATTGACAAACAAAACAAACAACAACATGTGTGGAGCTGGCGCTCGCTGGTTTCGGGCCCAGTTTCGGGGGCTTCACCCCCAAAAGCCCTTTTTGAAACCCACAAAAGCCCGTCCCGCGTGAGAGGCTTGTCGGTACCCCATTGAGATGCTGTTCTTTGATCTCCTTTGCTAACCAAAAGTCAGCCACGAGATATGAGTTCTATGGAGATGAAAAAGCAATTCCACTGGAGAAAAATCGCCGAAAAGGGCTGAGAGGCACTGGAGCCCGTCCCCATAGGTTCAAAGTTCTTCACCGGAAGTCAAGGGAAGCGAGGCTCAGGTTCTGACTTTGTTGACTTTGATACCCCCCCATCCAACTATGGGTGGCTCGTCTTTTATTGGAGTTGGTACCCCCTTTTTGATGGTAAAGGGAAAACAAAGGACAGGTCCCCCAAGAAAACCAAACGCATGATATGCCAATATCATGATCCGCAAAACATATACGCCCAGCCATGTGGAAAACAACATGGGACCACTTTGTTTGGGTTGGTTGGAACTCACGACTTCACGCAACGCTTTGTCTGTGGCACCCTGCCAAAGCAGTCTGCCAGAGGACTGCGTGCAACGCGAAACCGAATGCATCGATTCCGGATCCATTCGAACGGTGGTAGGTTGGAGCCTTCCAAGCCACAATTCCGCATGGACATGTAGACAGATGAACAGCCTTTTTCTGAAAGGACGGTGTTCACCTTTTGACACTTTCGGAATGAAGGATGAGTTTAGACCTGCCTGGGTTATTTGGATTTGGCGTTCAACTCTTTTAGGGTTTCCTATATGTCGAATGTCCACTTAACATATCACTACGGAAAACTCACGAATCAACTGTCTCTTTAAATACGATGATTCAAACCACCAAAAGAAAACAAACATATGGGCTCATATGGAAATGTCTTTTTAAAGGTATTCTTGTTGGGGCTGGTTCAGAGGGAAACCAAAAGGAAAACCGCTCATTTTGAAAATATTGGGTGTCCCCTAAAAAACAAACACACATTGGACATATATCAGATAGCAGGACCCCCGGTTCATGGGTCTCTATGGATACACCCACGATTCGCCTCCGGGGTCGGTGCCGTCCATCGCGGCTGGATGCTCAACCCAAACCCTAGCTCCAAGCCAAACTAAGGAATAGATTGGCTTGGGTGAATGGATAGCGAATAAGTTGGGTTTTTGGAGGAATCTAAGATCGTCGGCACGTACATCCTAAACCCCTTCTCGGGTCTTTGACCCCGGTTCTCCCAGCCGACTGCCAGCCAATACTTTAAAGGCACCCAGCGGGTTGGCCAAAGGACTATGTTTCTTTTTTTGGGGAGCACATCCCAAAAACCCCCAAAAAACTCCTCTGATTCAAGACGACCCTGTCCGGCCCGAAATCAGAAGATACTTAGATGCTGAAAATGGCCGAAGCTATTGCAAATACGTTTATAGTCTTGAGGGTTGCCATTCCAGAAATCAAAAAAACATGGCTAGCCAGAAGCAGCAAACTGTTTGTTACGATTTGTTGAAGAATCAAGGTTTGACAAGCTCGTAAAGGGAGGTTTGACAAGCTCGTAAAGGGTACCTCCCCCCCCATTCAAGGCTCCCCCTCTGATTTATCAAGTCCCTCTCCTGGAAAATCACAAAATGCCGTTTCTTTTACTTTCCTACAGTCCTATTGGCCCTGGGGATTTCATCCGAGGGAGCCCCAGCAGACCCTCAAAATCCGGTTTTCCCGAACCTTGTCGACCTTGAAGGGGGGAGGGTTGTTAATCCAGTTCCCAATACTTTGGATGCCGAATCCAAGTGTGGAGTTCACCTGCTGTTCCCTTGTTACATCAAGCCTTTGGCATCCCAGATTTGCGCCTGCCATAGTACAGCATGCACAAAATTAGAAGCTCAGGTGCTTTTGTACCAGGCTGCTGTCTCCCCCCGCATTCTGCATCACCCCAGGTCACAACAGCCCCAGAGTCAAAAATGGCCGCGAAAGCACCATGGGCAGTTGCTTAGATGCGCCGGACGTTTCTGAGCTGCTCTTGCACCTGGCTGCTGTCTCCCCCTTCTTCTGGATTACCCCAGGTCACAACAGCCCCAGAGTCAAGAATGGCAGCTAAAGCACCCTGAGTTGCTTGGATGTGCTGAACCTTCCTCAGCTGCTCTTGCACCTGGCTGCTGTCTCCGCCAGCTTCTGGATCACCCCAGGTCACAACAGCCCCGGATTCAAGAATGGCAGCAAAAGCACCCTGAGTTGCTTGGATCTTCCTCAGCTGCTCTTGCACCTGGCTGCTGTCTCCGCCCGCTTCTGGATTACCCCAGGTCACAACAGACCCACATTCAAGAATGGCAGCAAAAGCGCCACCAAAGCTGCCACTACTTGATTGGATGCGCTGCACGTTCCTCAGCTGCTCTTTCTGCTGGCTGCTGTCTCCGCCATAGTCTGGATCACCCCAGGTCACAACAGCCCCCAGATTCAAGGATGGCCGCAAAAGCACGCTCAGTTGATTCGATCTGTTGGACGCTCCTCAGTTGCTCCTGCACCTGGCTGCTGTCCCCGCCATATTCTGGATGACCCCAGGTCACAACAAACCCAGATTCAATAATGGCAGCGAAAGAAGCATCAGTTGCTTGGATGTGCTGGACGTGCCTGAGCTGTTCTTGCACCCGCCTGCTGTTTCCGCCATATCGTGGAACACCCCATGTGACAACAACCCCAGATTCAAGAATGGCAGTAAAAGCACTCAACGTTGCTTGGATGTATTGGACGTTCTTGAGCTTCTTTTGAACCTTTCTGCTGTCACCGCCGTCTTCTGGCTCACCCCACGTCACAACTGCCCCAGATTCGAGAATGGCCGCAAAAGCCCCATTGCCTGTTGCTTGGATGCGCCGGACGTTTCTGAGCTGCTCTTGAACCTGGCTGCTGTCTCCGCCAGCTTCTGGATCACCCCAGGTCACAACAGCCCCAGTGTCAAGAATGGCAGCAAAAGCACCCTGAGTTGCTTGGATGTGCTGGACCTTCCTCAGCTGCTCTTGCACCTGGCTACTGTCCCCGCCGCATTCTGAAGCACCCCAGGCCACAACCTCGCCCCCGTGGGTATGCCAAGCGAAGGCTCTATCACTGGCAGCCAGTTTGCCAAGCTGCACCACCGCGGCCACGACATCCCCATCTCGCAGCCCAGCTTCCCCCAGTGTGGCCGCCAAATTCAGTTGTCTGTCATTTGCAGTGAGCTTCAAGCGGCGCTTGAGATGCTGCTGCGCTGTAGCCTTCAGCTCGCTAATGGGCCTTTTTGAGGAACGTGAGATCGAGCAACCATCTCCACTGGGCAAGTGGACATGCACCTGCATGGCGCAAGAAGATTCTTCGGTGTCTCTTCGCGTATTGAATCTGCCAGACATGAACCTGAGGCCGCTTTTTGAATGGCTTTGAAAGGAAATGGCAACTTCTTGCAAGGGTGTCTGGGACACATCCATGCAAAGGAACATCCCTCTGTGTGGGTCGAAGCGACAAATTCTGACTGAAGTTCTCCTGCAGCCCAAGGTCGATGCCAGTGATTTGTGTATAAAACGGCACCAATACGGGAACTGGACATGCAGAAAGGCGGATCGTGGCCTTTGCAAGTCATACCCAAACCTAGCAAAGGAGAATGCCCAACACCCGGGATCGAAGAAAAACGGCAAGTCAGCGAACATCTTCGCGAGAAAAAAGCTTCTTTCGCGAATCTTTCGCGACTCCATCGCCACGCCCTTTTGTTTGCAGCGTGCGCTCTGGAGCCATTGTGGCTGCTGCAGTTGTGCTTGCAAACACAGTAGCCGCAGTTCACTTGCGCTGGCAGGCTTGCAGTAGCGTTAAAAGAAAGCAGACACCGTCATTCGCCCTTGTCACTTGCGCTTGCCGGGGAAGTGCGGGAACCTTGCAACAAGCTCCATGGACTTTCGCCGGTCTTTCGCGGATCTTTCGCGAAACTTGCTCCAAAATAGCCCAGCCAACGTTATTGGTTTGCACCATTCCCAACACAGGAATGAGAATCAATAATGCAAGTATTAATAAGTGCTGCGCATCTCCCCGTCTACAAGGGAGCGGGGTCTGCAAATTTTCAAGTGCACAGGATGCCTCCAAGAACCCAACGCGGAATCTTTCGCGGAAAAAAACAAGTTTCTTTCGCGAACTCCATCGCCGATCTTTCGCGGAGGGATTTAAACAAAGACAAATGGTCACCGAACACATAACTCCTTGCAAGGACCTTTTGATCAACCCCCATGTATATGGTACACCCCCAAGCAAAAAAACACATAGGGTGTGAAACCCTCTTAGAACACAAACCTGGGCCCCAAAAGACAAGGTACCCCTTTGAGTCGAGGAGATCTCTCGCACACGGCTCCCAAAGAAGTTGCCGGAGTGGCCGGAGATTGGGTTCTCGGCAACGGGCACCAAAAGGCTTGCCATACAAATCAAAGTTTCAACAGGGGGGAAGACCGGGTGTGTCTTGGTAGGCTACCCGCAAGAAGGTTGCTTCCTCGGGGTTTCGCCAATCGGGGAGGTCGCTCATTCGACAGAACTGAGTTCAAAAAATGGCGGAACTTCTCTGGTACAAATCTCCCAAAAGAAAACCTCGCAGCCGCAGCAGAGTCTGCATATTGTCCCTTTTACACAGTACTCCACCTAAACCATGCCACCTAGTCCTATATTTTGACATGCAGGTGAGTGCCAATCAAAACCTGGTTGCCTGGGACTAGAAGCATCATTGGACCCATCGAAGGGGTTAGGACCTCCACTTGAAGGTGTTGGACCTCCGCAAGGGCCCTTTTGAGGGGGTTAAGATGTTTAGGGTCATCTTTACGCCACCCGGGTGTTGATTGCGATATTTATATCGCTCGAAGGGTTCGGCACCTCCCAACGCCGCTCCTGCAACAGCTATGCTTGAGCATAGCAGGTTGCCCATCGAGGCGGAGAACGCGAGACCGTGTAGCTTTGTGGAAACAATCGGGTCTGCTGAGATTTGCGAGAAAGACGTGTTCAAACTGGTTGAGCTTGGACAGCAGGAAGGGTTGAGGTGAGAAGAAAGAGGACTGGACTTGAAGAACACAAATAAGGCGCAGCCATGTCACACTGTAGTGTGTTGATGTCTTAAGGTGAAACACGCAGCTCGAGCTAACAGCGAGGACATCTGGCCTCAGAAAGTTTGAAGCTCACAAGTTGAGCCAACATCCGGCTGACACATGGAACATGCCGCCAAAACGTACAGTCCGTGCTTCGGCTGAGGACCATTTGCCTTCCGGTAGGTCACTGTCCATGTGCTGAGGGTGTAAACAAATCATGTTTGCCAGAGGTAATATGCGGTGTGATCTGGAGCAAATTGTCTTGAGCCGGAGCGAGCGTGAAAAACGAAGGCGCGTTAATGATTGCGCAGTCAAGAAAACTCGGAGTGTCCCCTAGTGCCAACCTGATGGTGGGGCAGAGAACCGCTGAGCAATGAGCAACAACCTTTGCTGGGATTGGATATCCGGGGAGCCAACGACAACAATTGGGGCACTTGTTTTTGATGATAACAATTGTGCGGGTTGCTTTATATAAAGGGAAACCAATGGGAAAAGCAACATTGTATTCAGACGCACCCTTGGCGGCTATCCGCAAAAGCCTTAGGGCTCGTTCTGCCCACCGTTGCCTATACCGATCCCATCCCGGAATTTCCTGACACCGTACCCCCGGATCTGCAAAACCTGAAATTAGAGTTGGATGCCCAAGTAAAGGGGTGCGCCCCATATGGTTTCAACGCGCTGAACTTTGGCGCGGCCCCGTTGGGAAAATTGTTACTGCGCATGACTTGACATACTGATATCGCTCCATTTGCTTAAGTCCCCTGGAAACAGAACAAACAGTCCAGCAGTGATAAATTACCTTTAAAACCAGCAGGGGGAAATCGAAAAATGTTCTTGACCAAATGGCAGTTGTCAGATTTTATAATCTTCAACGACCGTACAGGAAGCGGTTCAATCGTTGCCTGCCAAGAAATTCCACAAATTCTTACACTACTTCACGCACGGCTCCCGATGGCACAGCTCGCCGCAGGCCATTTTGAACCCAGGGATCGTCCAGAAGGTGAGGTTGATTCTCTTCCCGGCCCCCGAACCTCTGGGTTTCTGGGGTGAGTGCAGCTTATAGGGCCAAGGATTCCGCATGCCGCCCCCGCAACTACGGTAACTGGTGACGATGGACAAATGTTCACCGCTTTCTTCCTTGCGCCGGCAAAATCCGAAAGGGACACTTTGCCGAGCCAAGCTGCGGAGCTCATCAATGCTCCCTTTCAGAACCCTTGCAGATTCCAGTTCAGCTTTGCTTGCACGTGCCTGCTGTCTCCGCCTTCTCCTGGACTACCCCAGGTCACAACAGCCCCAGATTCAAGAATGGCAGCAAAAGAAGTCTGAGTTGCATGGACTGCCTGGACGTTCCTCAGCTGCTCTTGCACCTGGCTGCTGTCCCCGCCGTATTCTGGATGACCCCAGGTCACAACCGCCCCAGATTCAAGAATGGCAGCAAAAGCACCAAAAGTTCCTTGGATGCGCTGGACGTTCCTCAGCTGCTCTTGCACCTGGCTGCTGTCTCCGCCATGTTCTGGATCACCCCAGGTCACAACAGCCCCAGTGTCAAGAATGGCAGCAAAAGCACGGCCACTTGACTGGATATGCTTGACGCTTTTCAGCTGGTCTTGCGCCTGGCTGCTGCCTGGACTACCCCAGATCACAACAGACCCAGATTCGAGAATGGCAGCAAAGGCACCACCAGCTGCTTGAACGTGCTTCACGTTCCGAAGCTGCTCTTGCACCTGGCTGCTGTCACCGCCATAGTCTGCCCAACCCCAGGTCACAACAGCCCCAGATTCAAGAATGGCAGCAAAGGCACCATCAGCTGCTTGAACGTGCTTCACGTTCCGAAGCTGCTCTTGCACCTGGCTGCTGTCACCGCCATAGTCTGCCCAACCCCAGGTCACAACAGCCCCAGATTCAAGAATGGCAGCAAAGGCACCATCAGCTGCTTGAACGTGCTTCACGTTCCGAAGCTGCTCTTGCACCTGGCTGCTGTCACCGCCATAGTCTGCCCAACCCCAGGTCACAACAGCCCCAGATTCAAGAATGGCAGCAAAGGCACCACCGGTAGTTGCTTGGATGTGCTTGACGTTCTTCAGCTGCTCTTGCACCTGGCTGCTGTCACCCCCATAGTCTGGATCGCCCCAGGTGACAACAGCCCCAGATTCAAGAATGGCAGCAAAGGCGCCACTGGCAGTTGCTTGGATGTGCTTGACGTTCTTCAGCTGCTCTTGCACCTGGCTGCTGTCTCCGCCGTAGCCTGGATGACCCCAGGTCACAACATCCCCAGATTCAAGAATGGCAGCAAAAGAAACCTCAGTTGCCTGGATGTGCTTGACATTCTTCAGCTGCTCTTGCACCTGGCTGCTGTTTCCGCCTTCTTCTGGACTACCCCAGGTCACAACAGCCCCTGATTCAAGAATGGCAGCAAAAGCGCGCCCAGCTGCGTGAATTTGCTGGACGTCAATGAGCTGCTCTTGCACATGGGCGCTGACTCCGCCGGAGTCTGAACGACCCCAGGTCACAACCTCGCCCCCGTGACCATGCCAAGCGAATGCCCTGTAGGCGGCTGCCAATGTGCCCAGCTGCGCAACCGCATCCACCACATCCCCATCTTGCAAGCCAGCCTCACTCAGCGTAGCCTTCGAATCGAGCTGCCGGCCTTTCGCGGTGAGCTTCAAGCGGCGCTGGAAGTGCTGCTGCGCTGCAACCTTCAGCTCGCTGATGGGCGTCGCTTGGGAGACTTCTATGCAGCAGCCATCTCCATTGGGCAAGTGAACATCCACCTTCATCGCGCAGGAAGGTGGGTGTTTTCTAAATCACCTGCTCGTTGAACGTCTCTTGAGCGTTTACAAGGGTTTAAATGCTTGGACATCCATACAACAAAGCTTCTTGGGTCTTGGACCGGCCCTTCCCCTGTATGGCACTTTGTGACTGAAGTTCTTCAGCTGCCCGAGATGCGAATCGTTCGACCTGAAGAAGAGCGGGCTGGTGTGTCGTCATGACCTTTCCATCCAACAAATACTCCAAAGCCCGTAAAGGTCCACCAAGGAAGAAGGAGTCATAACCTACCCACAACCTACATCAAATCGGTTTTCGCTCGTACCGCCCGGATCGCTTGCTCGAAAACCATAGGCAAATGGATTCCCCAACTTCCCCTCCCCCCATTCGCAACCTGGTGAGAGCTATGGTGGATGCCCCTGCAACTTGGTGAGAGTTACGGTGGATGCCCCCTAATTTACCGTGTTTCATGTTGTTTCTTTTTCCCATGATTTTTGGTTGTTTTACAAATGCAGTTTTTCCGGGCATCCGTAACATCAAGTTGCTGACAACAGTTCCATACCGATTGGGCTGCAAACACATGGCTCTTCGATTAAACCTACACAAGATGATCTACCTTTTGCTGAGGTAAGAGCAACCCAACTAGTTCCTCAAAGTGCTATCAGCACTACCAGAACAAACCCTCAGAAATCACATATTCTCCGGCCACAACCATTCCCTTCAAGATCCAAAGAAACAAAAACACCACGGTGGAACACGAGTCGATCCTCCGGCAACAACTCCTCTTCGGCTTGTTAGACTTTCACAAGGAGCACAAGTGAGCCTTTGAACACCATTGGAAAGGGGGAGCAAGGAGATTGGGATTTACGGAACTAGCCTAACATGGTTGGTTCTCCTTTGGTTTCCTTCTAAGGCATCCCCACAAGGATAGCCTCAACAGACATGCCCATATCCGTCTAAACAGATTCCTTTGAAGCACGTGTCCATCCTGTGAATGGTGGCACAGCTCGTAGGATTTAACCTCTCTCACTTCCCCTCCTCGCCCTGTTTCTGGAAAAGTAATACCCGTTTTGAGAGGGTTGAATTCTAGTTTCTTGACCTCAATATTTTACGCAGCCCAAACGGCGGCTCTAAGGTTTTGGGGTGACTAAATATGGACCAATGGGAAAGCCAAAAGGTCAAAGGTCGATTCTGAGTTTATGGGGAAGCCACCAACAACGGACAGCGAACTGGTGCAGTCACAGAACCACAAGTCTGGGGTGCAAACCACAGGACCTAAGGTTCGGTTGCGATATCTCCAGACCACGTCCCCCGGAAACCAAATAGTAAACGGGAGAAACTCTTTGAATTGTTGGCGGACACAAACATCCCTTTGGGTGACTTGTCTTTTTTGAAGCCACCTAAGTGGAAGCCAAAAGCAAAACCGCCCATAAAACCGCCCATGTTTGGGGGAGGTCCATCCAAGAAAAATATATACCTATATCCATGAAGACTCAGTTCCTGAGTAGATCAGCCAACAAAAGTCTGAACTTCTTGTATACCACTAACATGGTCTTCTCAAAAAGTTCAAAGTCCAACTCAGGAAGTGAGAAAAGAAAAACACATGATGTCCAACATTCCTCCGAAAAAGTCATAGCCACATCCCGGCACATCTTTGCTTTTCCGCACTTCCGCTGGCAACGCCTCTGCTTCAAGGAGCAGTGCGCACTGCAGACAGGCCGAGCAACTGTTGCCGTGTTGCTGGCACCGCTTTGACCTTCCAAGTGAGCCACAATCAAAACCCGGTATTAAAATGGTGAACCCAGAACTATGTAAAGAACTAAGAAGGCGGCCGCAGCTATTTATGGCTAAAAAAATGGCCCTTACTAACCTTCATCTACCCGGGTTTTGACTGTGGCTCAAGCGGTGATTTTGATTGGTTTGGTGGCGAAACGGAGGGGTGTCCCATCTATCCTGTAGAACCAGGGACCCGTTCAAATCCCCAAACCACCAATCCACCAACGAAAGGGTTACCTGATGTGAATCACTGCCTGAGTGCAAACTGCTTGCTGGCTTCCCTGAAGTCCAGGAACTCAGGGAGCAAGCACTGAATGGCGCACCCAAACAACCTTCTAAAA